ATTATACAAGTCTTTTGATAGTAATTATGTGTGAGAAAAGTTTTTTAAGTCATCGATAACTATTTTTTGAAGACTTATATAATAGAAGTCTTTTCATAATAATTATCATTGAAGTAACTATTTTTAAGTCTTCAAAGACTCTTATTTTGAAACTTATATTATAAAAATCTTTTCATAATAATTATGAGTGCGAAAAAAATTTGTATATAGTCCCGAACGGGTCCCATAGGCAAACATGCGGCAAAAATAGGTCTACCCTATAATATGCTTTGCCGCAGCTGTCAACTAGAAGATAGCGAAGAAAGTGTCCAGCATTTCCTATGTGAATGCCCAGGCTTTTCGAACATTAGACACAAGACATTAGGGAAACATCTAGTAGCACAACTAACCGACCTATCAGGAGCTACCATTAGCGAAATCGGCAGATTCATTAGAGAATCGAAATGGTTCGACCTAGCAACAAAGGAAGTGCATAGACAAAATATCCCCCGCGAGAAGTGCATCAAAATGGCGCAATAATGCGCTAATTGTGTCCTGGGCAGCGACTAAGAAGCACTGCAACCAACCAACCATGTCCTTTAGACATCCAAAACTTATCAAGAAAGAAGCAGGAGTCATATTCTATTAAAATGGGATGAGGCTCTTATCTGAATCTGAGATTGTCAAGAACCTCACAGAAAATAATTGTTGAGCTCTTTGAATATTTACTTAGCTAGTTCAGTGGCATAAAGCCCCATTCTAGTCTAACTACACACCCGGCTGGAAATCAACCATACAATGTACTAGCTAATACCGCATACCACCTGTTTAATTTTGCTAAGTAGAAAAGACTATAGCATGCAAAATATAGAGCAAGGAGAACTATTCTGGTGCTTGATACGTTTTCTTTACTAAGATGTGCCCTGATTGGAGTCGGTCAGTCCTTGACATAGAAAATCTGGACAGATTATTGCAATACTGGTTTTATTCATCAGTGCCAGGACTATAACTGCCTTACAAAATGTTGACTTGGTTAACAGATACAGATTTTAGTTAAAAGATCCTTATTACGGGTTAGATAGAAGCATAAAGAAGCTGTGAGAAAATTCTGGAGAAGGGCTGCCAAAAACAACTGACTTTAGCCTCAACGGGATGGACAGGGGTTTAAAAACGGCCCGGATCTTTTCCGAATATTAATTTGGAAGATAAAAAAATTTAAATTTTGCTAAGTTGAGATACATATGTGATCTTTTGAAGCTTTTAAAAAATAAGCCATACTTCGCATACATACATACGTTCCACGAGAATAAAGATAAGAGTACTTATTTTTCAAAAATATTTGAAATCGTTGGAAATTCGTTTAAGAATTTAAAATTTTTTGTGAGCCCGGATTTTCTCTTGACGGCCCGAAGAAAAAGCATTAATTTCCTGTCTGATTTTCTCTAGGCTATTAGCAAAACTGAACAACGCCTGTTTGGGATTTCTTTCCCAACCGGGTGGGTTACGAGTAATGTATACAGTAGAAGTTTCGAAAATAGTAACTATGTATACATAATAAAATTTAAAATAACAAAAACTATTTAACTAACATAAATAAAAGACAAGTAGTGTTATTACATGACGTTATCAAAATAGCTATCTACATAATACATATTTATGTACAAACAAAAATAAGTATGTACATATGTATGATTTAGGGTGTTCGATTATGCGGCTTTTTCCAAAACCGGTTTTCAAGTTATTCGAAAAATTGCAATTTGAAAAAACCCGTTTCCGGATTTTGAAATTAAGAAAAAACCGGTTTTATTTTACACAGTTTTTATACAGTGAAAGGGCTTATGTTGGTATGAAGTCATTACCAAAAATTACAATAAAACTATTAACGGTAAAGATAGCTATAATTTAGAAAAGAGCAAAGCAAAATAAGTTCCAAATGCTTTATTGCATTTTTTCTGATTCTTTTCGGTTTGGAGTAGTGCTTATAGGTGCCTCCTGCCACTCCGGAGCCCCATGGTTCGATTTCTGGTCACAGTAACAAAAAAAGCTTTTTTTTTTAATAGCGGTACTCAGCAGACAATGGCAAACCTTCGAGTGTACTTCGGACATAAAAAAGCTTATTCGGAGGTGTCACAACATCGAGAAGCAGAACACGAATTGGAGGATAAGTTCGGCCAAACACGTAGAAAACGTTTAAGCTCCAAACATTAATTTATTGGAACTAAATATGATATACTGTCCATACCCAAATAACCCAGGATATAATTCTAGAACTATTTGGAAGTTTTTTTTTTTAACTGGAAAAAAAGCCCTGAAAACTTCGAATAAATCGACACTTTTATTGTGAGGTCAAGACTTCTATGAAATGCAAAAAAAAACCGGTTTGTTCCATAAAAAAATCCGGTTTATTCGATATTAGAAAAATCAAGATTTCAAAAACCGCCCATAGATATCCAAAAAAATCGGTCAAAACCGGTTTAGAAAAATCGACTCAATCACCCTAGTATGTATGTATCTATAAATGGCTATCTATATATTTTGTATTCCTACTATCTTATCTTTATTCTCAATATGACTATGCTATAATTGTTTAAACATTTACATAACACTATTTCCGTTGATAACAAATTTCTTCCGATTGCATTGCTTTCATGCATAGCTACTTTTCTTTTGTCTCCTTTATAAATGATTGTTTTTATGATTTTAATTCGCGTAGATAGCAATATGTACAATCAATGTGACGCAGGTCACTCACGTCGGCGCTGTTTGAAAAAAATATTTGAGTCATGTTTTTTTTATTTTTATTTTTAAGAGAACAATATAATTCTAGCGTCAATTACGATAGTCAAAGCCTTGCTTAATTATACTCGTACTTAATAGTTTCTAAACGTACGAGAAAGGTCTGTGTATAGTTTAAATATTATACATTTTTATGTACATATGTATGTCGATAACCGCAGTAACTAAATAATAACATCTTCGTCGGAACTATCAGAAAAGCAGCAGCTGTCATTTAGGTTGAGTAGCCACTTAGGCACGAGTACATCAGAAATCATTTAATGTAAGAATTTTCAATTACCCGCCGGTAGATGTTGAAATGGAAAATAAGCTGTGTAGATGTCTTAGCACTCTGTCTTGGAAAAATTTGCGTTAACGCAGCAGAAAATTTTTAATTGCTTCTTTTGTGTACAAATGGATAGTTGGGGATCATTTTGGGCCTAGTTCAAGCCCATTTCGGTACTATTTGAGGATCATTTTGAGCCGTGTTCGGGATTATTTTAAAACTAATAAGAAGCCAATTCTGTACCGTTTCAAGACTTGATCGAGATCATTTCTGGACAAGTTCACGACTTTTTCGCCCATTGCCGGGCCTTTTCTGGGCTATTTCATGACGATTTCGGGAACATTTCTAGCGGCTTACAGTGCGGCTTTTGGAATTTTGGTATGTTGTTTAGAATATCAAAATAAAGGTTTATGTAAAAATTTACATCTCCATAAAATTTTCGAAGATGAATGTTTCTATTCCGCGCACTAATAACATTTGCATACCTTTATGAATAGGAATGTAAAAAAATAAAAATATTTATTACTCGATTAATGTATTGAATGATTAATTGCAAGGCCAAAAAAATAATTCCTATTAATTGAAAGATACTAATCGATTTTTTTAATAGTGTTAAAACTAAATAACTTGTTTTCAAAGTTTTTTAGTGATTAAATATAATCGTATGCATAAGAAACAATTCTATTAAAAAATTGGATGTAAATAAGCTTTTTAAAAAAGTAATTTTGACAGCTTCTTGGTTGTCAATCTGCTTCGGCTTTACAAAGCTATGGCCCCGGCTATAGAAAAAAGGCGTCCTGCGGGTACTAATGTACCAATCAAGTGCGAATATTTGCGGGAAAGCGGGTAAAGTTTTGGATAAACAGCCTTCATGTCATCCCAGGCTTCAATAGTGTTTCGTTTAAAGTATAAAACTTGGCAATACATAATCAAATAAAAACTTTGCTCGTTTTGAGGCAATGTATCACCATTCCGCCTTCGCCTTTTGTTATGAGCTAATGATTTCTGAAGGGCCCATCCATTATTCAAAATCATTTTCCAAAGATTCCTTTGATATTTCGCTTCCACTTTCACTTCATCCGCCATTTCATTTACCAAAAACTGCATTGTTGAAGCAAGAGCTGTAGGATCTGCAAAATGTATTTTTTTTTTAATCGTGGGTCGAGTATAGTTGAAGCCACTACTAAAAATTAGTGTTCAATTGGTCCAAAGTGTCGGTCAAACTGCTTTAGCAAAGCTTACGGGAGCCATTTTGAACACGCGTTTAATTTTCCAAATTTATGTGCAAAGATAGTGAGTGATCTGTCTCACATTTTTACCTGAACAAACAAGACATAATTACAAAAAAAAAAAAAATATTAATAAAAATTTAGAGCTTGGCCATTAATATTTTTAAATTTTCGCTATATATTTCCTCAAACTTATTTTTGTCACCTGGTCACCTTAACAAACTATGTATATACATATGCATGTACACGTGTTTTAAAATAACAATACAAGTACATAGATATGCATGTACGGATGTACAAATGTTTGCCACATATTCACCAAATGTTCAGTTTCCATGCAATAACATTGAAAATTTCATCAGCCAAAACTTAAATAATAACTTTTATGTTTACAATTACGAGCGATAAAAACTTAAATATTCTACGGTGCTTCAGAAATTTTTCTCAATAATGACGTGCATTAAGAAACCACTACGCGAATGCACCGCTGGCGCATAATGCCGGCGTTTAGTTGTGTGATAACTGCTTGGCAAGCGTACAAATTCGAGCGCAAAGCACGTTTTGCACTTTTCATTTGTGGGAACTACATTTTTTGTAGAAAGCTGTTACTAAATGACACATTTTTTTTTAATTCGAGCATTTAAATATGTAGTGTGTGTTTTGTATGCGCTTCCACTGATAAAAAGTCAACTGAATTTCATATTTTAAGAAGTAAAAGTTTCAACAAATACTTTTTTCTGTTAATTTTTTAGTGCAAAGAATCACCTTTTCTTTTTTATTCACATTGACGATTATTTCCGCACAATGAAAAGAAAAAAAAAACGCACCCAGCACAATAATATCTAAATTTTCCGCTCACAAAACCTTCACAATCGGTAAACGCGCTCTAACTGAACAAGTATTGGCTCTGACTCTTTGGCACTCATATTGGCGGCGTTGGCACTGGTACATTTGTACTTTGTCTACATGGTGTGCGTTAAAGTAGTGTTCTCTCTGGCGCTTTGGGTCTTCCACGCAGTGCCATCAATGATTTTTATTCAACCCCAACCTCAAAGTACTCGTATAAGTGGAATGCTCGTTGTCGACTCGTATATCTTTCATTTGCTTTTTACACCCTAATTTTTGCCCTCTCCTCTATATTTATCGTCAAATGACTGATTTGAGTAAAATTAAAGAGAATATCAGGTTATCTTGCAGTGCGATGCACCGGAGTACATAGGAATCACAAACCTCTATAGATACATTTGTATGTGTATGTATGTACATACGTTCCGATATATGGACATGCACTCCAGTCGGTTGATTCGAGTTTCAAGTTCAATGCCTGGCGAAATTCACGTGTTCACTAATCTTTCCATACGTTCGCTAAAGTACTCGCACTTTCAAACTAGAGAGTTAGTTAAATTAGTTAAAATAGCAGTACTTTAGTTTAAAACAATTATTATCCAGCCTGAAGTATATTGCGCTAGCCTCCTATTGAGGTTTAATTGCTGAAGAGTACTTCTGCATAGGAAGCTGAGTTGTCGATAGTTTGAAAGCCAGCAGGGGGTTCTTTCAGATCAACAGGTAGTATGAGAGCGTATATTTAATATGTACTTATACTAGTATACTAGAATTTCGATCCCTGAGAGCGCAGTGTAAGGTAAGAAGTGCGAGCCGAAATGCTTCCATCTTATTTAGTCTCGCGAAGGGTGAATAGTCTAAAAGAAAGTGTGTGGATGATTCCACCTCATCTTCCTCCTGACAGCTGAAACAAAAGCGATCAGTTGAAATTCCTCAACAATCGCACAATGGCCTGTCAGAACCTCCATCATTAGCCCTTTAGAGGTAGCGTGTTTTTTCGCCACCTTTAAAGGGTAACGATGGGTCACTCGTGTCCTGCGCTGCAAAAAGTATTTTAAAGTGCCCTTAAAAACATTTGTTGCAGCAGAGAAACGTCTAGTGAGTTCCAGCAGATAAGTTCTCCGTGAAACAAGATAGGCTTAAATCTGCTTTCATAGAGCTAACGAATTACTTTGGGCGAGAAACCCCACCTTTAACCGATATCTCCCCTACAGCAGCACAAGGCAACCGAGGACTTTCTTACCCTTTCCTCAATATTAGGCATCCACAACAGCTTTGTATCCAGGATCAAGCCTAAGTACTTAACCCTGTCTGAGAGCCGCAGACGAAGACCCGCAACTCGGAGGCAGGACCACAACGGGTATCTTGTACTTCCTGGTAAACAAGACCAGTTCCGTCTTGCTGGGGTTTACTGGGAGGCCGCCGTTGATCGCCCCCTAATCACCTGGTACAGGTAACCTTGAGCCAGATCAAAAAGGTGTCTAGAAATCGTTCCTTAACCAAAAGTACCACATCATCCCCTCTATATCGAAGAAGCCCCCACTGAATAATCTTTATGCGTTACCAGTTTACCAATGTGTCCACCGACTTGCTCTTGAAATATATTCACGAGGAATCGAGTTTTAGCAAAAAGGAATACAGACTTGTAGGCCTAAAATCCCTAGGAGGAACATGAGAGCCTTTTCCGGCCTTCGGGATGACCGCAACACTGACTACCCTCAAAGCCTTGGGGATGTACCCGGTCCTCACGCAGTTCGCACAGATAGGAGCCGTCGGTCCCCGGGAACTTGAAGGGTTTGAAAGAATTTATCTCCCAAGCCATGTGACGATCTTCTAGCAGATCGGAGAAGTAGAGTACAGGACCTGAAGTACAAAATATTGCGAAGAAGTTCATTTGACTGTACTGCGAAGTACGAAGTGCAAGAGTTAAAAAAGAAATACTTTACTTTCGAAAGAAGTACGGTTGGCCACATTATTCATACTCATATTCATATTCTGATGCTTTAATAATATAGCCCCGCACAGTCTTTCTACTGTATGGAGCAGGTGGTCCATAGGTCATTTTGACAGTTGATAAAAAAACCTTTCGGGTTTAGAGAGGGGAAAGTAAAAGTTATAAGCACTTGAAAAGTTTCAGCGAAATCGGTGCAGGTTATATATCCGTTCCACCTGCCTCCATATAGTCGAAATTACGTGTCCAGTGAGAAAAAATTCTTATCGATCATTTTAAAAAGTTTGCGATTTGGTTAAGTTTGAGTATCAGTCACTAGTTCGCCGTGGTTATTCCTGCAGGAGTTCGCCCTTATCTTAAAACCTACTATACGTGGCCTAACTTTCTGATACAATTTCAGACGTTTTCCTGTTGGCTATTATTTTACGCACTTCGCTCTCCCTTTTTTATGGTTCATGCAAGTCGTATTCCCTCCTCCTCGAGCTCGAGTTACGTTCGATCGCTGAGTAGTGATGTGCTGAGTCGGTACTTTTAAGTATTGATCGATACTCGGTACCGATTTGGAGAGTATCCAATAATTTCGATACTCGGTACCGAAATATTCGAATTTATAGTAAGACCCACAAATATGGAATATGTGTGTCTTGATGTTATATCTCATATTAGACAGAAATACACTCAACTGTTCCTCGGACCAGGGATCGCACTCGGGTCCTAAGGAGTGGCAGTACGCGCCTCTAACTACTCAGTCACAGCGGCAACCACAATGCAAATCGTAATAAATAATTTTTGAAAATTCATAAGTATTACGAATTAACAATGTTGCCACAAGAACTGTTGCAGTTGGTAAGACTGTTGCGATAAGTACAAGAGGGCTCAAATAGTAGCATACATATTGCTTATTTGTAGTGGTTTTTTTTTTTTTTTGCTTTGATGATGTCACATAAAAAAGCAATGACATTTTTTCCTGCAAACTTCAAAAGTATGTATATTATGACGAGGGTTTAATGTATCGAATCGGTATCGGGTACCGAAAGGAAAGTATTGGGTACCGAAATTTTTTTCAAGTATTGGGTACCGACAATTCAGCACATCACTATCGCTGAGGCACGATTTTTACATCTCGAGAACGAGAAGAGAGCGCAAAATAAATTTAACGGTATTTTAAAGCTTTTGAGATAAAGAATTCAGAAAAAGGTCTCTTTGGATAAAAAAAAAATTACCTGGACCATCAAACATAGAAGGTTTAATTTTTTTTTCTTTTTTGGCCTTCAAACTCTCGATGAGGTCTTTGAACACTTTAGTCATTTGCAAATTTCCCTAGCCAGCCAGATGTATTCCCAAGTGGACCACAGTGTGAAAAATTAACTTGAACGAGAAGAGCTAGCGAAATAAAAGTAACGGTATTTTGAAGCTTTTGAGAAAGAGATTGACAAAAAATAGTCTCGTTGGGTAAAAACAAAAATACCTGAAAATTAAAAAGTTTTAAATATGTATATATTTTGGCTATTCTTACGTCAAGGAATCCATTTCCATGATCGCGAGAACCGGAAAACGCAGGTGAGGAAAGCTCCCCTCTACGAATGCGAAACTCAACTAATCTCTCTAGGTGAAGGTCGTCCTTACCAAATTTAGCGATAAAGGCGACATCGGCCAATTAAACGGTGTTCACATGAGGCGATTTTCCAGGCAAGCGATTAGTTGAAAGGCCGTTCACATCAGGCGATTGTTGCATTCTACTAAAAGTTGCCTGTAATATCGCCCCATGTAAACATCGTATTAACCTTCATGATAGTCGTATGTATGTACGTATGTAAGCAAGCGCATTCGACACTGAACTTTCTTACCGATTCACACGCGCCCATATTTTATTTGTTGCTAATTTTTTATTTATTTTTATTTATTTTTATTTTTTTGAACGGCCACCTAAAAGTAACGCACGTTCTGTACAATTCTTTCGTGTTTCATATGTATCAATATATGTACTCCTTTTTAGGTCGATTGTTGTACATATGTAGATTGTACATACATACATATTAGACGTCTGCATGAATCCATTCAAACCGGCAAATGAATCATTCAATTTCAAATGTTTGGCTTTGGATTTTATTGAATTTAAATAAATAGCTGTTTTGATATGAGTATTGGCAAAATGACGTTTAAACGTTATGAAAACGTAGCGAGTGAATATAAGATATATTTTTTTTTTATGAATATGAATATGTTTTTTGAGTTCATTGAACTCTACACATACATACGTACCTACATAAATTTTTGTAACTTATGGTCGACTTAAAATAAATCATTTGGGTAAGAATGGAATTGGTTTTAAATTATTCAAATTCAAATTCAAAATTGGAAACCGCACAGTAGAATACTGATTTTTTGTTGATCCGCACGATCTCAATTTGACCATAAGTTTAGTGTTAGCAAGAAAAAGGAGGTTCATATAACTCTTACTTTAGCGAGTTTTAGCAATGTGTTAGTCCAAAGACTGATATTTCTTTCAGAGTATGGGAAGCAAAAAGAGCTTAGTAGCGCAGTTCTGATCTTTCGAGATCCGGACAGTGGCATAGGAGATTTTCTGTACCTTTGGAGGTACAAAGTTTGAAATTTTTGGTGAAAATTTGTCGAATTTTTATAACTTTTGTGCAAAGGTTGAAATGTGGATTCATATGGTGTTTGTTGTATACCCAGCTAGAGTTTTATAAAAAAAAAAATAATAAACATTAACCCTCTACTGCATGAGCTACGAAGGAGATGAAAAAAAATGCAAATGTGAAAATCATTTATTTAAAATTTTATTATGTATAGGAAGAAATATATGGAAAATTTTATGGAAACAATAGAAAATAGTTGGGTGTAGGTAAACTAATGTATTTATTGACACGTAGGAGGATGTCTGAATTATGAAAATATTTTTATTTTTTTTTATTTTACAAGAGCAGCTTGCATTTTTATTAGTTTTTAAGTTGAGTTCAGCGCACACGAATATACATTATTCGACCAAGCATACAAAAGTTCAGACCGAATTGTAATTGAGTCAATTAACCGTTAATTGAGCTACCGAATTTTGGTGTTCACACACAGTCGGCTGCTCAATT